CGAAGTCTCACTACACTCGGACGTCTCTTATCCGGGCACCTTGGGACCGGGCACTGCCCGTATCTCAGGTTTGCCCGTATCTCAGAATAACTCATCTACCATGTATGATATCATTTTTTGAAGAAGTTTATTTGGCACGTATTGCACATGTTGAGGATATAAAAGGAACCCATTGATAAAAATGTGGGGATTACATAGGTTGGCAGTGAAACATAAGCACTTCCACATACGGAAAAAAGTACAAAAAACCCAAATTCGACGCATTTGTGCTATAGGAGCTCAAGCTGAAGGTGCCCGGTAGAGAGACGTGCCCGTATCTGAGGCGTCTGGATAAGAGGCGTTGTAGTGGATTATGTAAACAGTTAGTATGGACTTTGGTCTGGGCATGGAAAGTCTGTCGTTATTCGCGAATTGTCGTTATATCCTCAGTCGTTTTTGGCGAAGTTGACTGTAATCACTTTTATAGATATCACCTGTTTCTCTGACCCTGATTCTCCACGGCGTTGTGCTTTCAGTATCCAGCAATGTACTCTGCAACGAATGACCGGTTCAATTGTATCCAACGTGCCCACCAGAACTTGTACGTAATACACATTGTTTGAAAGCTATTGTGCTAAGCAGTTCCTGTGTTGTGTTTTATGTGTGTGTGTGCGTACGTGTGCGTGTGTGTGTGCGTGTGTGTGCGTGTGTGTATGTGCGTGCGTGTGTGCGTGCGTGTGTGTGTGTGTGTGTGTGTGTGTGTGTGTGTGTGTGCGTGTGTGTATGTGCGTGCGTGCGTGCGTGCGTGTGTGTGTGTGTGTGTGTGTGTGTGTGTGTGTTTGCATGTGTGTGTGTATATATGTGTGTGTATGTGTGTGTTTGGGGGGGGGGGGGGAGGGCATGTGAGAGTGCTTGTGCGTGTATGTCGATTGCATATCTGAATACAGTCTTTGATTCTTGTACTTCCTCCGTATACAAAAACTTCGTGACTTTTTTTGAAGGCTGCGCACAGCTCTGGAATTGTTCCCTTTGACTTGGAATAAACCTCGTGGCATTGTCTAACCTGTTTACAAGCTATATACAAAGAAAAAAGCAACTCAGACGAATGAGATTGAGTTTATTCAGAGTCTTCGTCGCTCTTTTCATTGTCACCTGACGACGCTGACCCCGCCACCCCAACAGTCGCTGCTTCCGCTCGCATTTCGTTCAGATTCTTTTCAGCTGCAGGGATGATCCGACGTCCTCTTCATCGCCAGAGCTGTGCACGAATCGGTGTCGACTATATTCAGTCGTTCCAACCCGCGACCTCCATTATGCAGTGAAACGAGTTGCTCAAACACATCCACACGTTTCGCATTTTCTCGTCAGGATAATCCTCTTAGCATTCTACAACGGCTTCGAGGAGGTCTCTGCGATTCCCCTAGACGACGACGAAGACGTCTGACTGGAGAGAGGCGAAGAAAGTCAGGTCGTCGACATTCCGACCGGAGTCAGCGCTGGTTGCACGACGACTGAAATGTTTCATCTTGCCGTGCGAGCGGAACTGATTTCTGTTCTCACGTTGCATATGGGGCCGCGCACCGCAAGTACGAGCCTGGCCAGTTTCATGGCAGCGAGTGCTGCGTGACTCCGTGTTCCAGCCTAGCCGCGAGCTCCACTCCGTCACGGTGTCAGTTTAGTGCAAGTAACTGTTAGTTTTTCTTCATCTGACTCGTGAGTTCCTGTCGGCAACGTCCTCACACGCATGGCTTCCGCGGAGAATCTGTTCGGGATCAACCAAACCTACCTCAACATGAATGTGGGTTGTCGATGAGAGCCTTTGGCGCGGTTCGTTGAGCATGTTCTTGCTCAAAACACCGTTGAAAAAAAGTCACGAAGTTTTTGTATACGGAGGAAGTACTTGTGTTGCTGTTTTGGATTCACCTGTCTCCTGTGAAGAATGCCGCACAAACAGGTGTGGAATCATGATCTTGAAGAGCCCGATCATCACATTCCTTACACAGAGTTCCTGGTGCTGGGAGCCATTGCAAGACTTTTATAGGATATTATAATATGCAGTATGCCATGGGGTTTCAATGGAAATACCAATTTAAAGATGTTCTGGAAAATCTTGCAGGCGGATATAATTCAACACAGACAGACGTGTGTCTGTGTGTATTGAATACACACGCACGCGTGCGCGCACACACACACACATGCACACAAACACACACACACACACACATGCGCGCACGTGCACGAGTGCGAACACACACATTCAGTCAAGAAAACACTTCTCATGAGGTATCGTACATTTTCGTTCCATTCTGATCAAGGATTATAATTATGGAGGTTCGCCCTACGTAATCACACGTACGTATGGAAGTTGCCCTCACACCCAGGCGTGTGTAGCTTTTGGATTTTCATACGTAATTACGTAGGGTGACACCCCCCCCCCCCCCCCCCAACACAGCATATTACTCAAATGGAAAATAGGACTGCAATCGGTAAAGCATAAAAGTACAGAAAAACCTGTCTAGGCGACCACTCGGATAAGGCGACCACCTGTCTTGGAAGACCAATGAAACCAGGACTAAGGCATGCTATTTCTAGTCAAATAACCCTGGATTAGGAGATCACCTGGTGACAGAGACCATGTTTTGACGGTCCCTTGAGCTGTCGTCTTAGACAGGTTTCACTGTAATGAGATCACAAAACTCTGAATTGTCGTTATATCAGCGTAGAAGTGCTTTACATGTACGTACGCCAATGAAATGATCCTTTGACGCCATTTTGACGGCAATCCCTGTACAGTTAGACCTGTCCTGGAGGACCACTCTGATCAGGTGACCCACCTGTCTTGGAGGACCACTCTGATCAGGTGACCCACCTGTCCTGGAGGACCACTCTGATCAGGCGACCCACCTGTCTTGGAGGACCACTCTGATCAGGCGACCCACCTGTCCTGGAGGACCACTACAACATGGAACAAAAGGTGTTTTTTTCTTCTTCAGTCAAATGACCCTGGATAAGAAGACCACCTATACACGGAGGCCACATTTTGAAGGTCCCTGGAGCGATCGGCTTAGACAGATTTCATTGTATGACCAATGGGTGTTAGATCCAGTCAAATGACCCTGGATAAGAAGACCACCTGTGCACGGGGACCGCATGTTGTAGGTCCCTTGAGCGGTCGTCTTTGCCCGTATCACTGTACAGAAAAACCTGTCCAAGATGACCGCTCAAGGCACCTTGAAAACGTGGTCTCTGTTACCAGGTGGTCTCCTTATCCAGGGTCATTTGACTGGAAATAGCATCCCTTGGTCCTGGTTTCAGTGGTCTTCCAAGACAGGTGGTCGCCTTATCCGAGTGGTCTTCAAGACAGGTGGTCACCTTATCCGAGTGGTCTCCTTGACAGGTTTTACTATAATGGTGGTTTCTGTATGTTGGTTCTCCCGTTCATTGTTGTGTTCTCTCAGTTTGGAAGCATTGCCGCTATTCCTGACGACTGGCTTGATTGCAGGAGTGTACCATCCGGTTAGACTCTCTATTGATCTCCGCTACTGTCTATGTGCTCGTTTGTTTGTGTGTGTGTGTGTGTGTGTGTGTGTGTGTGTGTGTGTATGTGTGGGGTAGGTATGTGTGTGTGTGTGTGTTTTTGTGTGTGTGTGTGTGGGTAGGTCTGTGTGTGTGTGTGTGTGTGTGTGTGTGTGTGTGTGTGTGTGTGTATGTGTGTGTGTGTGTGAATATGTGTATGTGTGTGTGTGTGTGTCTGTCTGTCTGTCTGTCTGTCTGTCTGTCTGTGCAGCAACTATATGGGCACGTGTATATAACGCCAAAACAAATAATGACCTTGTTTCGGGTCGGCCGACCGGGGCCATCCCCCCCCCCCCCAAATTCTGAAACCTTTTTGGTCCCAAATGTATACGAACGGTGCCAAAGCCGGCCATGTGGGCAAGTGCACTCAACGAGTCATAACTCAGTCAAATCTCAACCAAATTCAACAATCGAAATACCTACGAGGTAGCAGAGATTCTCAGCTGTTGTCGCGAATGGCACCACCATTCGCGAATCCTTCTTGTACAGTACTATAGTTGTAATATATTCAGCCGCTTATGTCTATCTAACTCCCATATACTTCAAAGTAGGATCCGTGCCCTTTATGGATCCACGCCCTGTATGGATCTGCGCCCTGTATGGTTCTGTGTCCGTTATGTCTAGATTCCATTATCGGACCTATGCACGCTCGTACGTATGTTTGTACATACGTACATGTCTCACTTATAGTGCTCTAAATCTAAACATAGATAAAACCCACATTCGAGCATTCCGTAACTATTCAGCCTGTACTAGGCACTTGTTTATGGTGTCTCTTCCATGCGCGATCTTCATACGCACTGTCTGTGTCGTTGTGCTAAGAACAGTTACATTGCCACGGAAGCTAGTTACGTTACCTTCAGCATTGACTTCCGTGCACGCTGCTCTGCATACTTCACGCCTACACTTCGAATACAGAAACGTAGTTTGTAACCCCTTTACCCCCTTTTGGTGTATTCTATTTGTTGTATTGCTGCGCGCACACATTTCAGCCCGCGCGCATGCTTTGGTCGTTTGTGTATTTGGTGTATTGCTGCGCATACACATTACCGCCGGCGCATACACATTACTGCCTGCGCGCACGCTTTGGTTTAGCTGTGGTATACAGCCACTTTCTTTATTCTTTCCTTTAGACCTCATGGTGGTCGCCACGTAGTTTGGTTTGTCCGCAACCAGCAATTACAGCAGTCAACAGTATACCAGTGTTCTTGTAGCCGATATGCTCTCCCAATCAAAATCAGTTTGACATTATAACGTCTCGGCTACAAACTGGTGCCGAAACCCGGGATCATGCCAGGACCTAAGTTTTCTGGTACCCTCTATTTACGTCGGAGTAAACTACGCAAGTTGAAAACCGACATCGAGAAGAGTCTCGTAGATGCTGAGGTGCTCGCTAGAGAAATCGAAACGACGACCAGTGACAGTGACGATAGTGACTCAGCGCGCGCTGTTTCCGAATATCAACAAAAGCTAAGTAATTTGTTAGAAGTTGTGCAACTAGATTTATGTGCATATGATGATGCTTGTGAAGATGTTGCTAGCGCATTAGAATCATTGGATCTGGAGGACTCTGAGGAGGACAGAATGAGTGAGATCTCGTCATATTCAGACAACTCAATCCTATGGAGCAGAACAGCTCAAACACTCAGACGATCTCTTCACCTGTCCTCGCAGAGTACTCCATCCACTCGTGTCAAGTCTGAACCTAGAACTGACGGCAGTTCTGCCACTCAATCCGATGCAATTGAACAACAAATCAAGCAGCTAATCCAAATTAGCCAAACCACACAACAGCAAACACAGATGTTCATTGCTGCCCAAACAGCCATGGCAAATCAACAACAGCAATACATACAGCAAAGCCAGTCGACAGTTCTAACACAGAACACGCCAGGCAGCAGCACACCTCAACAGCATACCACAAACCTGCCAAAGTTGCACATCCCAAAGTTCTCTGGAGATATACTTAAGTGGTTTGAATTCAGCGACATGTTCAAAGCATCGATTGCTGCCCGTAACCTATCGGACGTGGAGAAATTCTCCTACCTAAAGAGTCTCTTAGAAGGTCCTGCCCTCGATACAATTGCAGGCTTGCCTTTGTCCAGTGCCAATTACAAGGTGGCCGAAACACTGTTATCTGATCGTTTCGGTAAAAAGCAAACATGCATAAATGCACATTACACTGCACTGCGGGATCTGCAGGCAGCCAGTAACCAGACAACATCACTTCGTGCCTTGATCGATCAGGTGGATATCCACATGCGCAGCTTGGAAGCCCTAGGAGAAAACATCACTCAGGCAATATTTATATCCATTATCACCAACAAATTGCCACGTCACACATTGGCACAGCTAGAGCTAAAGAAGGGCTCATTGGATTGGACTGTGACCAGCTTATGCACTCACCTTCGAGAGTATGTTGTAGCCCATGAAGCTGCCGACCGACAATCATCGCAGCAACGCTCCGACTCAGGTCCTTTCACCTCCAGTAGCCGAGTCAGTGACCCGATCACTTCGTCAGCCCAAGTCTTGGCAACTTCATCCACCGCCAAAAAATGTGTGTTCTGCAAAAAATCGCATTTTTCTGATGAGTGCCAAGAGTACCCTGACATCGAATCACGGAAAAAACAAGCAAAGGGCCACTGCTTTCTCTGTCTTGGCGCTGGCCATAGCACTGGTTCTTGCAAAAGCACTCGTTATTGCTATCATTGTCGAAGTTATCGACATCATCGTAGTCTCTGCCCGGACAAGTTTGGTCCAGCCGCAGGTGACGCCAGTTCACCACAATCTTCTAGGGTAGCTGCTTCACCCACTAACACACTACACACCATTACATCGGTCGCAGCACAAGACCAGCAGCAAGATGAAATTTCAACATGTACAACAGCATGTACACCTACCTCCAACACAATCATGCAAACAGCACTTGTCACACTGATCAACATGAACACATGTGATGGTACGGAACAGCAACCACTGCAAGCCCGATTACTCCTCGACACGGGTTCAAACAAATCCTTCGTGTCACAGTCCTTTCAAGAGAAAGCCAGGTTTACCGTACTTGGACAGGAGAAGCTACTGATCGGTAGTTTCGGCAGTAAGAAACGCAAATCAGTTGACAGCGATGTTGTCCGCGTCACCTTTTCCACAACTGATGGGTCATCTTTTACAATGGTTGCCAACACCCACCCACAGATCACCGCTCCTGTACGTCAGTGGCCAGTGGATTCCAAACACCTTCCCACCTTGAAAGGCCTTACTCTAGCAGAGCCTCTATCTGACGCATCACACTTACCTATCGATATTCTGATTGGTCTTGATCATTATTATGACATAGTAGGTGATCAGCATCTCCGCCTAGGCGACGGTATGATCCTTCTTCAGTCTATTGTCGGATTCATCCGCACAGGTCCAGTCTCTTGCCAGACCACTCAGCCGAGTAGTCCTTTGGTCCTCTCATGTGACGCACAGCCCGAGATTGACATCAGTCGGTTTTGGAATCTTGAAGAGATTGGCACGGTCACAACTTCCAGTAGCGACACTCAAGTCTTAGACCAGTTCCGTCAATCCGTGTCTGTTGACTGTGGTCGTTACGTTGTCTCTTGGCCTTGGCGCCCGGGTCGACCGGAGCTACCTGAAAACTATCACCTAGCTTTCGGTCGTCTTCGTTCTCTCATGCATAAACTGCAGGGAAAGCCAGATGTCTTGCAGGCGTATAACAAAGTCCTTGCAGATCAACTTACCGCGGGCGTCATCGAAGACATCCCCGTCGACAAACCCAAGTGCTTTGCCATTCGGCACTATCTGCCCCATCACTGTGTCGTCAAGTCTGGCCACACTACTACGAAACTTCGTGTAGTGTACGATGCTTCAGCAAGAGCTTCAACTTCCGCACCCAGCTTAAACGAGTGTCTCTATCCAGGTCCGCCGTTGCTTCCGGACTTGTGCGGTATACTTCTCCGTTTCAGAACATCGCCAGTCGCTATATGTAGCGACGTAGAAAAAGCCTTCCTCCAACTTTCACTTCAGGAATCAGACCGTGATGTGACCCGATTTCTTTGGCTACATGACACTACGAAGCCCGTGGTCACAGACAACATTCGCGTCTTTCGCTTCACTCGTGTGCCCTTTGGCATAGTCTCTAGTCCGTTTCTCTTAGCTGCAACGTTAGATCATCATCTACGTCAAGATGGCAGCGCCGATGCCATGCAAACACTTCGGAACACTTACGTGGACAACGTACTTATTGGCAAAGACAGCGTTGCAGACGGCATCACCTACTACCGTTCCGCGAAGCAGCTGTTTACTGAGGCTGGTATGAACCTCCGTGAATGGTCTTCAAACTCATCCGCGTTCCTCGATTCAGTAGACCCGTCTGATCGTGCAACTGCTACAACACAGAAATGTCTAGGTCTTCTGTGGAATCCTGCGGCTGACACCCTTGCAATCTCACCCGTCTCTGTGAGCGAACTTGTAGTGCAGACAAAGCGCCAAGTTCTTCAAGCCGTCTCCCGTTGCTTCGATCCTCTCGGTATTGTTTCTCCAGTGATAGTATCTTCCAAAGTACTCCTCCAAGATATCTGGAAGCTCAACCTAGGCTGGGATGACCAGCTCCCCACGGACATACTGTGTCGTTGGTCCTGTCAGGCACAGGAGCTTGACAGTTTGGGTAACATAGCGTTCCCACGGTTCATTGGACCACTACCGCAGTCCACCACCCAGTATGAATTACATGTATTCGTCGATGCCTCTGAAGCTGCCTATGCCGCCGTTGCGTATTTACGCATGACAAACCAGTCAGAGTCGAGTGATTCCGACGCTTCGGTTCAGCTTGTATTCAGCAAGTCTCGCGTTGCACCGGTCCAAGCGGTCACCATCCCCAGACTCGAGCTGCTCGCTGCTCTCATCGGCTCGCGTATGGTCTCTTTCTTACGATCCGAATTAGCCATTGACATCGCCACGGTCGTGATGTGGAGTGACTCGTCCACAGTTCTCCACTGGATCAACTCATCTAAACGGCTGCCCAACTTCGTTCAGAACCGTGTCGATGCCATCAAATCAGTTCCCGACCTCACTATTGGATACGTCCGCTCGGCAGATAACCCTGCAGATCTCCCATCGCGTGGAGTCACAGCATCATATCTCCAAGCCTCGTCTCTATGGTGGCATGGTCCAGAATGGCTGAAGGTCGCCTACACGGTTACAGCTTTGCCGCCCGGGGAGGGTCCTTCGCATCTATCTCAGGAAGTTCCAAATCAGGGTTCAAAAGATTCTGTGGTCCATTGCCTAGCCAACTTGTCACAAAAGAAAAAAAAATCTGATGCACATATTAACCCACCATTTGGCATTGATTACACTAGGTTTTCATCATTTAGTGCCTTAGTGCGTGTGTCTGCACTCTGCTTGCGTTTCCTGTCCAGATTACGCAAAGCCGCTGAGTCACCATCTGGTCCTGTCACTACGTCAGAAATGAACCGAGCTGAACAACTCTGGATGAAGTACATCCAAGCCACTGCATATCCCAACATAATCGTGGCACTGCAGCTCGGCACACGACACCAGCTCGTTCACCAGCTCAACCTCTACTGCGACGATGACGGTATTGTCCGCTGCCGTGGACGGTTGGAAAACGCTGATCTCCCCAACAAGGCCAGATTCCCGGTACTACTACCAGCCGGTCACCACGTAACGAATCTGATAGTCAGACGTGCCCATCAGCTTGTGATGCATGGCGGCGTAGCGCATACCCTCTCTAAACTCAGGCAACAGTATTGGGTTCCAACCGGCCGCACAGTGGTGAGTCAGGTTGTCAGAAAGTGTCTGATCTGCGTAAAGTCAGAAGGCCGCCCATTTGCCTCCCCGATGTTCCCACCGTTGCCGGCGGAACGAGTCACACGCTCTCTGCCCTTCACCAACACTGGTTTAGATTACTTCGGTCCTCTGTTCATCTGGACAGCTGAAGGACATCAGAAAGTATGGGTACTCCTGTTTTCATGCATGGTCACACGTGCTGTACACCTTGAAGTTGTGGAAAATATGTCCACTGAAGCTTTCCTGCTAGCCTTTAGAAGGTTCATAGCGCGACGAGGTGCCCCAGCCCTGATCATGTGCGACAATGCACCGCAGTTCATACTGGCGCACTCAGTGATCAACGAAGCCTACCAAAAGGCTGTGAATTCCGATGTGATGTCCCAGTATTGTGCATCACTATCCATTGAATGGAAATTCATTGTGCCCTACTCTCCTTGGATGGGAGGGTTCTATGAGAGAATGGTCGGTATCACGAAGAGATGTCTCCGCAAGACCCTGGGCGCACTAAAGCTACGCCTTTCCCAGCTGAAGACAGTATTGAGTGAAGTGGAGGCAGTGGTCAACTCGCGACCGTTGACCTACGTGAGCGGCGACATCGACAACGTCCTGACACCGTCGCAGTTCCTCTCCATCAGGACATCAACCGCCCACCCGCCGTTGGTACAGCCAGATGATGCCAGTGACCCTGACTATCTACCCGGCAACCAATCTGCTGCAACGGACCTCCTCGACAAATGGAAGAAGGGTGACAGGCTGCTAAATCAGTTTTGGCAGCAATGGAGAGACGACTATTTGTCAAGCTTGCGCGAACGCACCCAACGGCAACACCACCAGAGTCGCTCTTCCAAGGTCGAGCCTAGAATTCAGTCGGTAGTGCTCATTGGCGACAATGCGCCCAGAGCAACGTGGAAATTAGCACGTATCAAGAAGCTGCACGTTGGTCCCGATGGATTGGTGCGCTCTGCCACAGTTTCGACAGCCGATGGAACTGAGCTACACCGACCCCTGCAACTTCTGTATCCACTTGAGTTTGACGACGAATGTCAGCCAACCGCTTCAACTCCCGCGCTTGACACTCATCAAGATTCAACACCTGCTGCTCACCCCAGTGACCTTGAAACACCAGCTAAGCGCCCCCCTCGTGCGGCAGCAGTGCGTCAACGTCAGGCCCTTGGCCAACTCATCCAGAATGATCTTCTTTGACATCCTGGCCCCGGAGTGTCGCGAATGGCACCACCATTCGCGAATCCTTCTTGTACAGTACTATAGTTGTAATATATTCAGCCGCTTATGTCTATCTAACTCCCATATACTTCAAAGTAGGATCCGTGCCCTTTATGGATCCACGCCCTGTATGGATCTGCGCCCTGTATGGTTCTGTGTCCGTTATGTCTAGATTCCATTATCGGACCTATGCACGCTCGTACGTATGTTTGTACATACGTACATGTCTCACTTATAGTGCTCTAAATCTAAACATAGATAAAACCCACATTCGAGCATTCCGTAACTATTCAGCCTGTACTAGGCACTTGTTTATGGTGTCTCTTCCATGCGCGATCTTCATACGCACTGTCTGTGTCGTTGTGCTAAGAACAGTTACATTGCCACGGAAGCTAGTTACGTTACCTTCAGCATTGACTTCCGTGCACGCTGCTCTGCATACTTCACGCCTACACTTCGAATACAGAAACGTAGTTTGTAACCCCTTTACCCCCTTTTGGTGTATTCTATTTGTTGTATTGCTGCGCGCACACATTTCAGCCCGCGCGCATGCTTTGGTCGTTTGTGTATTTGGTGTATTGCTGCGCATACACATTACCGCCGGCGCATACACATTACTGCCTGCGCGCACGCTTTGGTTTAGCTGTGGTATACAGCCACTTTCTTTATTCTTTCCTTTAGACCTCATGGTGGTCGCCACGTAGTTTGGTTTGTCCGCAACCAGCAATTACAGCAGTCAACAGTATACCAGTGTTCTTGTAGCCGATATGCTCTCCCAATCAAAATCAGTTTGACATTATAACGTCTCGGCTACAAACTTTGAAGCCAATACGCCAACAATTCTCTTAGCCGATTTTCCAATATAATTATTCCAATTCTGCAGCCGAATCTGATGTATTTTGAGCTTAGCGAAAAGCCGCAAAGGCGAAAAAAGGAAGAAGAAAAACGGGCAGCGATTTAGGGAAAGCCTAAGTAGGGGAGGGGAGGGGGACATGGCGAACAGTTACCCTGTATCCCATTTTTCCCCTTTCCAGTATAGTCTGGGTTTAGTGCTAGGCTAGACCTCTCTACAAAGCAGTGTACAACTACCGGCAGCTAGCATTGCTTTTGGCCGGAAATTTTTGGTGACGACTGTAGTAAAAGTGACTTTTGACTGCATTTTCGTTGAATTGCATGAAAACATGAAATCGGAAAATGACTGGGGGGGGGGGGGGGGGCACTTTTTCAGAGTAGGGGGCTTTTGTTAGATCACTCCAACATGTACCAGCAGGCTTGTTAGGTACAAAATTTCGTTTTGGGTCGAGGTCTGTCACCCCCAACGCTCAGAAAAACACTAGTTTGGTACAAACTTTAGTTATTTCGTGCCCCCTTAGGGGTCGTCCGCAATTATCGAAAGTTTTTTCCAATCCGTAGTAGCTTCGAAAGTGGGTGGGTGGGTCAAGGCCAGTTACGGATTGAAAAACTTCCGAAATGACACGTGCGCGTGCCACGTGTACGTCTACGTGTAGCCCCTGTTTTCCACGCACGGCTGCGCGCGAACTGTCTACTACAAATATTTTTGTAGTTCTGGCAGTTTCTGCGCCCCCGCGCGCGCTTCCTTGGCTGCTCCTAGATCCTGGGCCGGGGATCATAAAGTTCGGCGCATTCGACGGCGAGTCGACACTTTCTATTTTTGAGTTTCACTGTCTCCTTCGTCCAGAGTACCGTCTTCCATGCACTCCTTTGAAGTCCTTCCGTCTAGCGCTGGCGCTGACGACTGTTATTGACTATGTCCAGACAGGCGACGTTGTTTGGAAAGGCGGTGAAGAAGCAGCCCTTTTTCAAAACCGCTGGTGACTCTGATTATTACAGAACAATAAATTGCTTGTGGCAGTTGTCCAAGACGACGAACAAGGATGTATTCTTTGCCGAAGCGAAAAAGGACTGATTGAGTTTGTTCCATATGTGTTGGGTTGTGTGTCCATCAATAATATTTTATTACGGACTGGGGGGGTGGGTGGGTGGGTGAGGAAAAATTTGAAGCTACTACGGATTGGAAAAAACATTCGATAATTGCGGACGACCCCTTACGAATATAGGGAAAATAAATTTCAAACGAAAGTTTGTATTTCTACAGTACTCAGTAGTATAGGTGGTGAGATCAGGACTCCCTGGTCTACATGTGTGAACTGTGCCTGTGGATCACTGGATGGCTATGGAAACAATACATTCATGGGTTTGTGTGACTGATTCTTTGTAGTCATATGTCAGATACTCATATCATGAAGGTTCCATGATTTGAAAGCAAAACGACAAATTACTCACCGGCAAAATACTGTTGAACATTGTCAGGAAACCTTTGATCTCTTCGTGTGCCTGCTAGGCTGACGGTCGGTCCCCGGGACGGTTAGAGAGGCAGCGGCGTATCAATGGCTTCAATGGATGTTCATCCGGCAAACGTGCTAGGTAGCGTGCTCTGCGTGTCGTCTCCGGAATCACTTCTTGAACTTCTTGGCCCCGCTCTCGCACGACGACGAACTGTGGCGCTGCAACCACGTCCATGCCAGGCATAACTCCTGTTAGAACGCTCAGCATCATTACACCCAGCGAAAACATGTCTAAGGGACGATCGTAATCCGGAGCCTCGCTCAAAGCCTCAGGTGCCATAAATGGCAGTGTACCTGGGCAGCGAGTCATCTCCATGGCCGATCGGACTTGGTGCGGTTGTTGTCGAGGTGAAGTCAAGCGCACAAATTTAGCAACACCAAAGTCACTGACTTTGGCTGTGCCATTTTTCACGAGCACATTCTTGGGCGCTAGATCGCGATGAATGATTCCGAAAGAATGCAGGTAGCGAAGTCCTGCACTTGCGTCGCAGAGGTACGACACGAGCTTAGGAGTATCTTCTCTGCCATCTCCGATGCTAACGTCTTCTAGAGACGCCGACAACAACTCCAGGGCCAACGCAGCATTCCCTCTTACCCGAGCTAGTCCTATCAGTTGACATAAATTCGGGTGGTGCGTCCTACTAAGACGAAACACCTCTTGACCAAATGCTCTGAGTTTACGCTCTCTGTCTTGAACACCTGGCTCAACCAACACAGGATGTAACACTTTGAGAGCAATATCGATACCTTGCCAGTTGACCTTGTAAACCACTGCATCTGCTCCCCGGCCGATTTCGTCTTCGTCTCTCACCTGAACGTCACCTAGGAACGTGATGTGCTGGTGTGTCAGCCCTAGGTCATCAAGCAACGCCTGACCGTCGCGATTCATCGCTACGACTTTGTGGACGACAGTCACAAGTCTTTAGTCAGTCCGTGTTCATGTGTGATAAGAAAAAAATTCAAACGAAAAGCCTCCTGGCTTCCCTCATATCACTAACTCAGCCGCTACATAATAATGCTCAACAGCCTTTCGTTGCTTCTCTATTAGGTACTCAGTATCGGATCGCGAATGACTGTTGGGACATTCTTCCAAAACATGACGTCACAGAATTCGTAAAAAAAAGACAACTTTTGTCGCAAGCGGCTAGCCTGTCGCGCTCGCGAGACTCATCTTGGGCGCGCTCGAGCTGCGAAGCGCGACACACGAGCGCGACCCAAACTGTGTCACGTGTGTGTCGAATCTGACCGTCATTAGAGAGGTTTTGCAGAGCGAACGTTCGCGCGAATTTTCGTTTGACGTCACGAAAAGCGAAACTTCGTGCGAACGTTCGCAGTTTTGAACGCGAAAGTTGCAGGAAACGCGAAACAAACTTTCGCAGTAATTTTCGCTCTTTGTGGACCGCTGGTCAGCCTGGCCTGCGGCCTGGTGCACGGTGATCTTCATCATGTTTGTGCTTTATCTCTACTCTTCAAAGTCTCTTGGCTTGGTCCGCGAGTGCTAGCTTTCCTATACTTGTGGCAGCCCGTGTTGCTTCATCTCCAGAACCATCTCCGATCTCCTGCTTGCTCGTCTTCTCACTGCTCAGAGTCGGTTACATCAATGATGCCTTTTGAATCTCACGTGTTGATGCACAAGATTACGGCACAAGCCAACCCGACCCGTTTGTCTGTGGTCTCCGGCCATGGACAACGTAGTCAAAGAGCTCTCGTCTCAGGCCGTGACTCAGGGTACCTGGTGCGCGTGCCGCCACTCGCAACAAACAAATAATCGGATGGAGACGACTTCTCAAAAACAAGCGAGTGCACACGAACATTTCTTGGAGCGAGATACATGCAAACTTTCGCAGTAATTTTCGCTCTTTGTGGATTGTTCGTGCACGGTGAGCCACCCTCAGTCCTCATGTTTGTGCTTGATCTATACTCTTGGCTTGGTCCGCGGGTGCTAGCTAGGCTGTACTTGTGGCGGCCCGTGTTGCTTCATCTCCGGGACCATCTCCTGCCTGCTCGTCTTCTCACTGCTCAGAGTCGGTTACATCAACGATGCCATAGATGCCTCTTTGAATTTCAGGTGTTGGTGCGCCAGATTACGGCACAAGCCAACCCGTTTGTGACTGTGGGTCTCCGGCCATGGACAAGGTAGTCAAGGAGCTCTCGTCTCAGGCCGTGACTCTAGGTGCCACCACTCGCAACAACAAAAATAATCGGATGAAGACCACTCACTGCACTTCTCAAACAAGCGAGTGCACGCGAAAATTTCTTGGAGCGAAAAACATGCAAAACACAAATTTCGCGCGAACGTTCGCAATAGTTTTCGCAACCCGGAACGCGAAAATCATTGCGAACGTTCGCTCTGCAAAACCTCTCTATTATGATCGCCTTCGATTATTTATTTTCGTTCTACTCGACAATTCCAAAAATCAGTGCCATTGGCTTTAGCTTTGCCCTTGAACTTGAAATCTCGTGCCTTATTCTTTCCTGGGGACTGGTGTTGGATATTGAACGGGCGGAGTTACCGCCGGGATGATGGATGAAGGAGATGATGGCCTAAACTTGGCTGCGCGCATTCTCATTTTCGCGTGGCCTGCCACTAGTGTTTCGCAGATTCACAAAGGGTGTCACAGGCATAGCTGGAGGAAGAAAGGTGAGAGAATCGGTTGCACAGTGCGTGCAGATCAACCCAACCATTTGGTTGTTTTAATTTTACTTCGCACAGTCAAACGGGATGACCACCCAATAAAATTTCCGAACGTGACATTTTTGTAATTTATTGATTTTCCCGCATTATACCACAGTTTATTGTTCAGGTTATTTCGCTTCAACTTTTGAGGTATGAATTCCTTAACTGCAGACTCGACATGCAAGCTCCATACTCACCAGGCTGTGTCAACATCAGGTCACGGCTTTTTTGACTTTGTCCGTTAGGCTGTGTTTGCATAGATATTCTGATGGCGTCAAAGACAGTTAGAGATTTTGTTGGTCGTGTGTCGGGGGTATTGTCCCCGCCGAAACTGAATGCAAGTTTAAGAAAGACTAGGTCTAGTGAGTTATGATCAGAAGTGTCCTGTGGGTCTAGCCCTCAACCCCTCTGCGGCAAGCAGTAAACTATATTTACACCAAAAAGCGCAAAAGAAGACTTGATTTTTTACGCGGCTCTTTTCACCATGATAATTATTGTACACGTTTGAAAATTTGAAATACTCATGGCAACTGGTGGGTGAATCATTCAAAAATGCAAACGTGCCCGCTGTTGAGTGCAGCCATGTGAATCCACACAGTCACTTTTCTCGTAAATCACTCGCCGTAAAACGTGCAAGTGGCTGTCGTGTGAATCGCCTATAACTGACTGTCTGCAGTTGTCGAAGTATTTCCCTGCACTCACTGTACTTTGTTAGAGATGTTCCGCATAACGTAATTACGTTAGTTAAAAAATGTAGTCGATCTACGGAAAGTCTTACGTAAACTGCATGCGCATCTGGGTTCCGCCATACGGAGTTTTCAAATCATAGCAGACTCAGCGGAGGACGTTCAGGTTGGTTGTAACTCTTGAGTTTCATGCCGTTAGGCAAACATCAGACAACTGATACTCGGGTCTACCCAACAGTGAGTCAGTATGCTTATAAATACATAGGGCCACAAGCATAAACAAATTTAGCGCTAAATCTGGTGTAAGGTATGGGGAGAACAGCTGGTGCGGGCCACGGCGCGACAGTAGAAGTGCCAGGAGGGTGGCAGGCAACAGGCAGGTGTGAGCATGAAAGCGCAGAAAGAGGCGATGGGGAGGCAGTGTACAGCAGATGGGTGGAGGTGCCAAGAGGATGGCGGGCAATGGGCCAGTGAGATCGCTAGGGGGTCTTTGGGTGATGGGCAGGCGTGGGCGTACTATTGACATCATGGATGTGTCCTCACAACAAGGCTCCACCACGAGCATGCCAAACTTTACAAAGTAAGCCTTTCAGTGCAAGTCTTGGTGGCATGGTGTCTTTTGGGTGTTTTCTTAGGTTCCAAGAGACGTGGAGCTACATTGTGTGTGTGTGTGTGTGTGTGTTTGTGTGTGTGTACGCGTGCGTGTGTGTGTGTGTGTGTGTGTGTGTGTGTGTGCGTGTGCGTGCGTGTGTGTGTGTGTGTGTGTGTGTTTGGTACACGCCATGTACTCTTTTGTGCAGATACTACACGAATGCGAAACGCGACAAACTCTACAACGTCATTAGCCTGGAGTTCACCAAGACTAAGTTGGAGCCTCAAGTGGAGTCACCCAGTCTGGTACGTCAGCAATCCTACATACACTTGAGAGAATCAAAAGCGTTTCTGCTGTAACTCTGAGTTTCACGGTTTTAACCGATCATCAGACAGCAACTTGGACTACAATTTTCAGAAAATATGATTGATATAAGCTGCAATCAATCAATCCTATGCATGTAACGTTATATGTAGTACACTCTTATCTGTTGTATCCGGGCGGTCCGGGACCGAGGGCTCTGCCCTTCATTTGGAAATGTTCGTAATCACGTATATCTTGATGTGGAAGGCACGTAGATCTGGCATATTACGTCACTTCTGGCATTTCCACAAATTGGTAGTAAAGTAGTAATATATCCACTAGAACTCACTCACAGGGTTCCCCGTAGACCAAGATGCCCGTAACTTGGAGGTCCGGATAGGAGTCGTGAGAAATGAGTGCACTGTAGTTGAGCACTCCACTGCACTACTGTCTCCCCTGTATGCCGTGTTGGGGGGTTCGGTGGGCGTTTGAGGCTCATGTCATACATGATCATGCTTAGGCTCGTTTTGAGAAAGTATGGATTTTTAACTCCTGATTGGTTTGTGCAATGTGTTTATATTGGTTTATCAATGCCCCATCACAAGCTGTATTATGTATTCGCAACCGTGTACAAATTGCTCATTTGTCTTTTCTTCTTCCTACTGCTTGCTTGCTGCGGCTGCTGTTGCTGTTGTTGTTGTTGTTGCTGCACACAGGTACGTCATATGGATGGAGTGGACTTGGTGTGGCCGGAAACATTGCGCGCTTTGCAGCAGGAGGCCACCAACCGACTGGTCGACATGAAATATCCCAAAGTGCAAAAGTATGTGTTTTGTTTGTTCTTGTTGATGGTGCTGCTGCTGCCGCCGGTGTTGCTGTTACTGGCCGACTGCTGGTGCTGTTGATAGTACTACAGGTGTAGCTGCCCTATTGCTGGTGCTTGTGGTGCTGCTGCTGTTGTTGGCTTACTGATTGTGCTGCTGTTGCTGTTGCTGGCTGCCCTACTGCTGGTGCCGGTTGTGCTGGCGCTGCTGTTGCTGGTCTACTGTTGTTGTTGGCTTACTGATTGTGTTGCTGTTGCTGTTGCTGGTCTACTGCTCTTACTTGTGCTGTTGCTGTTGCTGGCTTACTGATGGAGCTGCTGTTATTGTTGCTGGCTTACTGATGGAGCTGCTGTTGTTGTTGCTGGTCTACTGCTGTTGCTTGTGGTGATGCCGTGCTGTCACAGGTACTGCCTGATGAGCGTCGGTGGCTGCTACACAGATTTCCGTATCGACTTTGGTGGCACATCCGTCTGGTATCACATTCTCAAGGGTGGAAAGGTCAGCATTCCCTGTCTGTTTGTCTGTTTTTGTGTCACACACATGTACACAGTATATAGATGGACGATGGGTGTAGATACAGACATACATCTGTCTGTCTGTCTGTATGTCTGTTTATCTGTCTGTCTGTTTACCTGGCTGTCTGTCTGTTTATCTGTTTGTCTGTCTGTCTGTTTATCTGTCTGTCTGTCTGTCTGTTTATCTGTCTGTCTGTCTGTCTTTCTGTCTGTTTCTCTACCCATCATCCATCCGTACTTGTATGTATATTTACCTCTCTGTCCATCCTTCTGACTGACAAGCTCCTTATAATCACGAATGTGTCTTGTAGAAGAACCTTGGAAGGAAGTGGAATGAGAAGAAGAAAGCTGGCATTGGCTTAAGTGTACAGCATTTCACTGATTAGAAGTCGCACTTGATGATAAGTCGCAACAGGTCTGAGCCAAGTTGTTTCTATACAGTACATTCACATATTACGTAGGAAGAAGTCACGCTCGATTGTAAGTCACACCACCTTCTTTAGGGTCGTCCGTAATTTTCGAAAAATTAAAAAATCCGTCCTCATGCAAATTTGTCTCTGACCCACCCACCCACCCCCATTTTTTCCCGTTAAGTTTTTGATGTTTACCAATGCCCAGCTCGAAAATAATAACTCCTGACCCCATGTTTTCTGACTGCACCTACATTGTATGTCAAGTACTAGTAGCTAAGTACAGTGAGTAGTAGGTCAACCGACGGCCATGCACGTCCTACAACTACATGAAAAATCTGAAAAGTCATGTATATTAGATACTGGTGTTTGCCGGACAATCGATCCTACACTACGTCTACAGCAGGGAGTCGTAAATACCGGTATTTTACGACTCCCTGGTCTACAGTACACGGCTGTTCTGAGTGCGACATTTATCAATATGGCGGCGTACCGTAGCAACCAGCATCGCAACAGCTCGCGTACGCACAGCGTGCCGACGCGTGCAGTCTTTCTGCACATTTTTCAAATTTATCGAAGAAAGTTTTTTGTTTTTGGGGCGATGGATTCGTGCCTTGGAGAGGTCGTATGAGGCCATGCTGGAGGAGAATAAGTCTACCACCAAGACCTGGAAGCCTCCCTTCGGCGAAGTACTGAAGTTAGTATGTCCTGGAGTCAATACAGTCAATACAGGAATTGTTTTCAAGACGATGCAGTGTAATAAATTCTAGTAATGTAGTGCATCATGGAATTCGGTGTGTTTGAAACTTCGGAACAAGAAGGGGGCACGTTTGCTTGACTCACTACCATCATGACGTGAACAGATGGAACCCCACTGCTCTTATTCTAGAACATGTTCTCCCCTGAGGACAGCTTACAGCCAGATTTCCGTGCATAAGAAAAGAGCGCAAATAAATCGTTAGACTGATTGCAATTCATCTTGGAGAAGGATAGAATTCGATCGTCTGCTACTCTCTCAACGCAAAGTTGATGACATAGCAGCTACATGTACGTCTCTTCATGCGTGTGCTCTTCACCTTGGGATCAATGAGGATATTAGGATTGCTGGAAATCAGATTCTGTATACTATTGGTCAGCAGTTTCTGCATTGCACATGCTCCACAGTGCTCATCGGCAAGGATGTTGAATTTGCATGTAACCCTTCACCACCCTACTCTCCATACTATTCCAGATCAGCACTAACTGAACATTGAAGTGTTTCATTTCCAGTAGAATGTGCTCCTCCAATAAGTGCGGCATTGGAGGCGGTGATATTTATTGCCACAGTTGCACTGCTGATCTTCGTTATGAAAGTAGCAATGGATGATGATCAAGTCAACCAGTGGGCTTGCAGTGATAAGCAAAGTACCACAATACATCATCAAGTGTCATAGCATGGCGGAGTTGGTTGCCCGCAACGCTTCCATGTTGGTCTTGTTAGTGTACAAATAGAGGATATCTTCTAGTCTCCAACTTTTAAAGCACATGGACCTGCTATAGGTGTTATTCTTCTATCAATGCTTGTTTCAAGTCACAGAATTATTTAGCTTCTTACAGCTTTGATTTAATTCGCCGTATTGTAATTAATGTGAAGAAGAGGTTGATGCGACTCCGGCGATACTTGGGGAATTGTGTGTTGCTCCCTACGTGGGAGCTTGCGCTATTCCTGCCGACTTGAATTCTCACTTGACCGACTTGTTATTTTAAAATGAATCCATGGACATCTGTCAATTCAGCAGGTGAACTGCATTGCCATCAAAGTAGGAAGCGACGAGCGGGTTCTGGGCCAGGGGGCGCCCGGGTCCCAAAAAATGGGGTATTATTGAAAAATGGGGTACTAATAGTACCCCATTTTTGCGGTGAAAATTATTTTTGGCCCGGTTTTTTTGCGGATAAAAATATGTGCCAGGGGGTGCCCCTACCTCAAAAAAATGGGGTATTATTGAAAATATGTGTTGTGCACATGTGGGTTTGAATCTCACTTTTTTGGGCCACCTTGCCCCGGATGGGAGTGGGTATAAAAAGTAGAATGTTGAATATGGTGTTTATCATGAAGTTTTTTCCGTGACCTACCCCACCTCCCCATGCAATTTTTCAAAAATGGTCCTGCTCGCACACACGTCAGAAAGGTCAGTTCTTGATAGATACGATACATGTCATTACAAAGAATAATGGAACGAACAGTGAATATCGCAATGGAGTGGAGGAGAAAGGTAGTACAATTCAGTTCTTGTTGTCCTGATTTCATCAAGCTGGTATTGGATGAGAGACCACAAAGTTTACTCTTCGAATACGTGTGAGGATGGATTCACCCATGATCTCTTCCGTGACACGCAGTACGAGGTGGAGTTGTCGGACGCTCTGATGTGCACCAATGGTTCCACCCAGTCAGCAATGGAACTGTCAGTCGACGACCTCCTTTGCACCGCCATCGTGTCAACAGTCGACTCGGGTAATTTGGAGATGAATCCATCGTCGCCGATGTCGATCGTACCAACTCGCACACGAATCCGCGTTACTCTTGTTGCAACGGCACGGAGTTGAACGGCCTTGGTACTACGTCGTACACGCACACGATCAACTCGAGAGACTTCATTTTTCGTTCACCTCCTTGACAAGTTGCATTACGTCGCTGGAATCCAAATAGGTTGCATCAGCGAAGAGGTCGATGATGTGTTGAGAGCACGGTTCGTCACGCATGTCACTAAGCTTGTAGAATGAGTGTCTACCATCAGTCCACCTTCGCAGTATGACACCATCATCAGTCTCACTAATAGTTCCGTAGTCCTCCACACCACCGATGACGATTTTAGGAAGGTGCTGTTTCCTATTCTTCACATTCAAGATCAGACTGGTGACCCTGCAGATAATATACTCAGCAGCAGTGAGTGGTGACATATCGAATCTTCTGGGATGTGCTATCATCGGGTCAAGATCCCTGGTTGTCTTGCTAGCACTGAGGCGACGGATTGAGAACTCTTCATTATCGCATGAAAATAAATACCATTTCTCTGCTCTGCACGTCTCAGAAAATGTCCACGCCATTTTAGCTTCTTCACACTGCAAGAAGGAGTCGATAATGAAACTGCAGGTTGAGACTACTTCACCTCGAGGTCAAAGTTCACGCCGCGATGACCTTTGTAAACAAGGCTACGTCTAGACGTCTCAAACAAGACCAAGGGGTCACGCCACGGGGAGGTGACGACCTTGGAGAACACGATGTGTTTCGAAAGCGGAAAGACGCCCCCGTCATGGTGAGTCTTTTTTGTTCGGGTTTGGAATCTTTCGACTATGATATCAGATTGAGATGTGAATGCCTTTCTTCTATTGAAAGGTCGATGAGACGGAGGATTTTTCTAGCTTTCTGCTCATATAATTCTTACTCTCATAGTACTTGATTTTCATATATTTTCAGGGGTGGAAATACGTAAGGCACACGGACCATGGATGCGCACATCATGGAGTGTGCATTGACGTCACAGTGGATTGTAGGATGCATCATGTACCACACAAACACACACACACACATGCACATAATATACATACACTGTGCAATGACATCACAGCGAACTGCACGATCGGTGGATGCTATACATATACGGAATTCCGTGGTCTCTTCTCATACAGAGATGGTAGAGAGGAATTCAAAAGGAATCTTGGAAAGAGGACTCAACTGTCAATAGAGCGATATTCCCCGCTCGGAGCACGAATATTCCCCGGGTCTTGCGACAGAGTAAATAAGGGAGATGTTAGTGCTGATCACGCTCTATTTGGGATAGTACATGGGATAAATGGATTATACCATTCGTACTCTGTGCATACCGTACCCATTATATTTTCAATCGTGCTGACACACTCATGAAAATATCTAGCGGTGTACCCCTCGTACCAAGAGTACATGTACTCTTGCTCGTACTCGTGGGATAATCGATACATGTCTTAGTGCTGATCGCGCTCTATTTGGAATAGTACATGGGATAACTGGATTATACCATTCGTACTCTGTACATACCGTATCCCTTATATTTTTCGTCGTGCTAACGCACTCGTGAAAGTGTCCAGCAGTATACCCCTCATACTCATGCGATAATTCTCATGAACGCCATCAGCTTGTACATAGCACTCAATCATTTATTTTTTATTTTTCAATATGAATGACATTGTGAATCATGACCGAAGACTGTTCACATCCTTCTTTGTGAGCCAGGTATTGAATTTATTATCTGTGTAGCCTTTCCATTGCACAAGACGTTGATCCTTGTTGTATTTTAACACCTTGTCGAATCTCAAACCGGTCTCTCTGGCGTGTTGCAGTTCTGCTTCGTAAAACGATCCGATGATGTGTTCTCCCATCAGATCACGAATCCTGTAGGTGTGTGGTGATGTTGATAGGATTTCATCCACCTCGAATACTTCCTCCGTCCAGTTCGCAGTGTAGCCCTTCTCGAAATGACGCTTAGATACGGTTAGGCGCACCTCGTCACCCACTTTGAACTTGGGTTTTGACTGCAGGGGGTCTTGTTGATCTGCATCT